TTAAGAGTCAGAGATGACAAGGAACTGAACGTGAAGCCCTACTGCAATTCATTACCTGAGGAGCTAACTCAGTTGGTGGATTTATAAGTAGGAAACTACCATCTAACTACAGGGACTTGATTTCACCATTGGCAGTGGTAAGATGTAAACTTGGCCACTTTGTACAGTTCTGAAGTCCTTCATTTTAAAAGGATTTTGGGAAGTTGAATGATTATAGGGCAGGACCACAAAAATGATTTAAGGACTAACAGTTGCAGTCCTGGAGCTACTGAGCTTTTCAGAAAGTATTTTGAAAGGTGATTATAGCATTTAAGTCCCAAGAGAAGTGGTAGGCTCTTAATTTTTTGTTGTTGCCAAACCATACCTTGATGCCTTCCCTTCTGAACAATATATTTTAGACCAATATATATTAGACCAATATATGTTTTTGGGCTCAGGAGACAAGAAAGTGAGTGAAAATTGGTGTAATAGGTTGTGCTACATTTTACAGTGGCTGCTACTAATCTAAAGGTTTCCAAATCTTCAGAAATATTACAGTTAATAAGATAAAATACAGTCACAGGAGTAAGAAAAGCTGGAGAACTGCTACAGCATTTGCCTGTAAGTTAGATACAATCTTGAGTACAAGGTGACTGCTCGTATAATAATAACACATTCTGCACTGCAGCATCACAAGAAATCATTAAATCCAAGTGTATAGAATGTTTTGACCCTTTTTTTCCCTTGCTGAGTGCATTATGGGACATAATCAGATCTGCACAATGCTTTTAAGGCATTTCATTATTTTGCCTAAATTTGGACAAGAGATTCAGACACATCAGTTATATTTTTTCTAAGGTGTCCTTAAATATCACTGAAATCAAAGTGTTATCGTTATTAGTTCAATAGCTCCTCACTCAGACTTTCTGCCTCTCCTCTGCTTGGAAATAGTTTAGAACAAAAAGAAAGTAATGGTAGTGAAAATCAGTCTGAAAAAAAAAAGGTGCTAATATACTCATCAAAAAATTCTCTTTGCTGCATAACTTTGAAGGAAGAGCTAAAATGTTATTCTGTAACTTAACAACTCTCTTCACCACAACATAATGGAGCAGTAAATCACCAGAACGAGGAAGGAGAGTTTTAGGGGTTTTTTTCTGGTAAATTGTTTATTCTTTTCTTCTGAATACATGGCACATACTCATCATACTTTGTAATATCAATGAGCATGTTAATATTATATTAGGTGATGGAATCAGTGTTTTCTCCACTACTCTGGGCTATATATTCCTAAGCAGTTGAGCCCAGGTGCATGTCCTAGGTTTGAGTTACAGGTGCATGTCTCACTCATGTCCTCACTCAACTTTGAGGCCAGACTGACTACAAAACTTCTTCTCATCACCACATTCTTGACATAGGGAAGAAAAGGCTAACAGTCCATCCACACATCCATACCTATGTAGCCAGTGTGACATAACATGCATTGGAGAGACACAGGTATTGAATTATCAAATTGCTGATTAAGAATCATGGCCTTCCACAGCTAAGCTGAAAAATAGAAAATCCAAAAAGCATTACTGCTAACTGCTGTCAAAGAGGATTAGAAACTGGGAGACATGCAAAGAAAAATAGTTTCTTAAGGTGTTTTGTTTTTTAAAATTTTCAGGAATCCTGCATCTAATTTTTCTGGAGTAAGGCCACAAGGAAGCACAAGTTGCCATCATCCATTCATAGAGTTTATCTCTGCCGTGAAATACTTCTACACACTAATTCCTTCTGAGACTCTGGCAGCAGATAAAATTATCACTTCTCTCATTTGACCTCCTTAAAATTGCATCACATAACTGTCAGTAATTTTACAATTACAGATCCAATTTTCAAGCAGAGACCTCAATGACTTCAGTGAACATTAAAAGCCAACAGACAATAAAACCTACGCATCAGGTTGTGCCACTTTTCTCACTTAGATTCTATTTATATCCACAGACCTTCAAAGGAGTTACTGACAAGCAACAACTCCAAACAATCCTACCCCAAGACATGCTTGGCCCTCTTAGCTACCAGGGCACACTGCTGACTCATATTCAACTTGCCATCAACTAGGACCCCCAGGTCCCTTTCCACAGCACAGAATTGACTAGACATTTGGGTTAACTTCTATGAACCTATGTAAATGAACAGAGGACTCAAAAAATGGTAACAAGTTGCCTTGGCAAAACAGTTCACTGAAACACACTGGCCTAAGTTTGATCAGGGACAACTGAAAATTAATTGATTTAGTTTTATGTTTTCCATTACACCATCATATGAGAAGAATCAGACACAATGAGGAACATGTATACATCCAAATTCAGGCACTGCACACATTTCATGAGTAAGCACAGAGGTCACATTCAGTGATTCTTGCACTTTATGTGTGGATGCAGTGTTTCAGATAGTGGTTTGTTGGGGTTTTTGTAATTGCTGACTGCACAGTTTCTGCACTGCCTGCTGGAAAATAATCTATCAAAATATGATTCTCAACTACTGATTACAAAGTTACTAAGATCACTGGAGCATCTCCCCTATGAGGACAGGCTGAGGGAGTTGGGGCTGTTCAGCCTGGAGAAGAGGAGGTTGTGTGGAGACCTCAGAGCACCTTCTAGGAGCTGAAGGGGCTCCAGGGAAGCTGCAGAGGGATCTGTGTTAGGAGCTGCAGGGACAGGACAAGGGGCAATGGGGACAAATTGAAGGAGGGGAAATCTAGGTTAGATGTGAGAAAAACATTTTTTACTGTGAGGGTGGTGAGACCCTGTGCCAGGTTGCCCAGGGAGGCTGTGGCTGCCCCAACCCTGGCAGTGTTCACAGCCAGGTTGGATGAGCCTTGAGCAACCTGCTCTGGTGGGAGGTGTCCCTGCCCAGGGCAAGGGGTTGAGACTAGATGGTCTTTAAGTTCCATTCCAACCCCTAAAATTCTATGATTCTATGATTTCTACTCGCAAAGTTTATAGCAGGTAAGTAAACCCAAATATCCTTCAAGTAGTCTATTGAGTAGTAAAAATTACTACCATTGTCACAGTGATCCTTGTAAGTAAAGGACTATGGACAACTCTAGGAATCAGACTGTAGGGGATAAACATAAAAATGTTTAAAAACCCTTGTTTTAAAACTACCATGTGGGCTTATCTGTGTTTTTTTATTCTAATTATTGATTATTTTATATAATAATCATTCCTCAAATTCTTTACTCCTTCTGTTCAAGTGCTAGTCTTGCTTCTAGGCACATTCCCTTTCTCCTTACCTGCAAAGCATATAAAGCCTCTGTTCTTGTCTGCTGCATTAAACACTGCAATACAGTTATCCTCAGTCACCGGACTGTTATCTCAGGGAATTGAATTATACTTTCTAGCTTAGAAACATCTAATTATTTACACAAAATGTTATAGTTGAAACAGATCCAGATTAGAGTATTATATGATGGTTAGGGTAGTAAAGAGTAAAATGATCAGGTCACTGATTTAAAACAGGACAAAAAGTTGAGTCTGATCCTGAGGATACCTGTTGAGGGTCATACCAAGCAGGCTATTGCCTATCCAGGAGCATGGGAAATCAGTTTTCTCTTTAGCCTTGTCTCTAGGTTGCAGCTGTAAAAGTTTGCTTGAGGAAGGTATGTTTGGGACCAATAGCAATTCTGTGGAACTTTCAGTGTCAGTTTTTCACAAGTACAACTGATCCCAACTTTTGCTTAAGAAATATGAAACAGCCTTAGATGGATGTTCAAAAACATCCTTGATAAGTCCCTTCTGTTTTGATATCTAGAGTAAGCCTTAGATGGATGTTCAAAAACATCCCTGATAAGCCCCTTCTGTTTTGATATCTAGAGTGTAATGGTTACCTACAGGGGCAGAAAGGGAAGCATTCAGCAAATCACAGAATCATATAAATTGGGTCTTTTCCTGAAAAAGGAGCAATATATGTCATTTCTCTCTCTTTCAACACAAAACAAAGACCTCTGAGATTTCCTCTCAGAAAAGACTATCAATTGTCTTGTTGCCCTTATAGTTGAAACAGAAAATTATCCGTTAGAATGTGCTAAATCAATATAGTTTGTCACAATTATTATTTTAAGATTACATATATCAATATATCTTTCATATATAGCATGTCTATCGATATCAAGAGTATATCAATATACCTTTCATCCATGAAGGCTTTATAATATATAGTCCTGACTGTTCCAGACATTACCTGATTACAATTTAAATTTGCTTTATATATCTGGATTTTACTTGCATTACCACTTTAAATTGTAAAAAGAAATTAACATGGAACAACACAACATTTCTGAAGTAAAATATCTCTCAATAGACTTAGGTACTTACCCAATAAATAGATGTCATTTTTTACCTCCACCCTCCAGCATATTCCCATCAGTTCCCGTTCACCACTCACTCCCCTGACCATGAAAGTTTTCCCACTAAACATGATGAAAGTTGTTGTACCAACTTGCCCTCATGTCTGCGTTTTGGGGTCAGTCCCTTTTTACATGCACCTCAAACATGTCCTAATAAAGCAGCTTCCCACCAAGGGTGGTGTGTGTTACATCTGAGATCAAGTCAACCCCTGCCCCTCTCCTGCGGATCCCTGAGCACTCCCAGGGCATCACTCAGCACCCACAGATCAGAGAAGGCTCTAGGTCAAACTTACTCTCACTGGCATCACAGCAAAACTCAGCTGAATTCAGTGGCATGGAAATGAGCCCAAAGGATGAGAATCCAAAGATAATGCTGGTGCTGGATAGTTTCAATTGAATTTAAAGTGAGGAAAAAAATGAAGGGAAAGTAAAAATACAGTAAGATTTACAAGACGCTATGTTTTCCATTCCCAATACAAGGAAATTTTGACTCCTTTGCCAGAAAGAACTCTAGTGTCTCCTGTCCTTTCTCTTTTTTTGGTATGAAAAATAAATTCTGACAAACATTCCTTCCCTTTCCCCCATAAACATGCTACAATAGCAAAAGGTAGAGATAAGTATAAAATCCAACCTTTATTCCACTCTGGACAAGCTTGTGTATATCCAAAAAAGGTTCCTTTAGGATGTCTCCTTCAGGAGTGAAAATCTTGACGTAGCCTTCCTTCTCGAGGATGAAGAGGCGATGGGATCCATCCCCACAGTGCACTGCTCCCACTGGCTGCCTCAGCCCACTCACTACCTCCTGGATACAGAAGCAGTTGTGCTTGTGTTTTCTAAAGAAATTCAAAGTGGTAGTGAGACATTTCATCTCTCTTGTAACCATTACAAAACAATGTCCCTAAAAGATATTGTTCTAGATATTAAAAACAGTTTGATATATCTAGATATATATAAATGTGTAACCAGAATGAATTATTTCCTGGAATGTATGCAAGAAGATAATGCTAAAAATCAGTTTGAACTTTGCTTGGACAGGATTTGGTCTGTATAGAAGAAAGAGAAAAATGAAACAAACTTAGATCCAAAATGTAGAGGAATGGGAAAGAAAAAAAAATTGGTAAAATAAGAAAATAATTTAGAAATACAGAATTTCTACTGTGGAATAAACACAGGATATTTCATTACTTTGACAAAATTTTTCTTCTAAAACCCATTTAAAAATGAGTTATGATGCAATCATCTAATTGAATTATTTTCACCAAGAAAAAATACGAGCGAAAAGAACTAAAGATCTTGAAATAAATATTTTACTAATAAACTTATTGTAGTTGTTTGGTAATATGAAATTCAGGGAGAAATTACTTCCCGGAACTGCGTATGATCCACAGGCTGGATGATAACCAAGATCCACAGGGTGGACCAAACCAGGATTCTAACACCTTTTCAGCAAGGCAAATATCAAATGGCACTGAAATGTTGAAGCTAATGTAACTTTCTCTTTTGACGTAGACTAGCAGCAGCGAAAGAAAGTAACATCTGGAAAACACAGCTGCTCAGCATAAGCACATACTGAGCTGTTTCACTGTGAAAACCACAGGCTTTGCTAGGGGTTTTTTTTCAGATTAAACAGCATTTATCTTTATGAACCTGCTGATCTCTTCCTCTTTGTCATATTCTTCCATGTGGTCCAGGGAGTTAGAAGCTGGCCCTCGCACTTGTTTCCTTGGAAAATCTGGAAAGCACACACCACCATCTTTTCTCGCATAGTAATAGCAAAACTCATCAGCTGTAGTTTGGAGGAAACCTTAAAAATGCAAAAGAGCATACAAATATTTAGTGTGTTGTCATGTCTGCAGTTTTGTGTCATCAAACTCGTCTTTAAATAGATTATAGTGGAAAAAGAGGTCACTTTAAACAAAGCACTATCTGGGGAAAAAAAAGGCCTCTCTGAATAAACAAAAACTGAGCATTACCTTTTACAGTTTATTCGTCTATATCTGTACTAAACCTTATTTTCAGTGTGCTTAAGTAAGAATACCAGTTCACTCAAAATGGCACAACAGTTCACTCACTAAAAAATTAAGAGAGTGTTCAGAGTGGAGGCTGTGATACACTTTTTTTAACCCTATCTATAAAGTGTAGTATCTGCTGTAAAATAGCTTGAGCAGTGTCCATTTGTTTCTGTTTTTAAAGCAGCTTGTTGTAGTCAAAATCTCAGTAAAGACTTTCATAGAATCATAGAATTTTAGGGGTTGGAATGGACCTTACAGATCATCTAGTCCCAACCCCCTGCCCTGGGCAGGGACACCTCCCACCAGAGCAGGTTGCTCAAGGCTTCATCCAACCTGGCTTTGACCACCACCAGGGTTGGGCCTTTTTATTTTGGTAAAAGACATGCAGCAAAGATTTTATGTGATGCTGCCAGCAAAGGACATCAGTCAGAGGGGTGAATAATCCATTGTCTCAGTGAGAAGTACTGCTGAAAACTGCACAGTGTTGACATGCAGTTGGCCTCTGGTTGACTCCCATCGTTAAAGTGGGTGAATATGGTGTCCCGTTGTGAGGGGACATGTCTCATGCTACATTGGATGAAAGGTAGTCTTTAGGTTTTAGATTAAAATAGGAAGGAGTTCAAAGACCCCGAGAAACAAGACGTTGGTAAAATGAGAGCCTTTGAGGAAAAACCCCTGCCACTACTGCTATTACACTATGTTTAATTACATCAAAAATAGCTATTTCTTTTGATGAACCTATTTCTAGCCATTTCCATCCAGTTTCTAATCATGAGTATCAAACCTAAGAGGACAGAATCTGGCTAGTAATACATGTATTCTTTTACTAAAACGTTGCTAAGATAACATGTCTTAAGTTACCTTCATTCCTTTTCCTGTTACTGGCAGCTGTCTTAGGATGTACCGTGATCCAGGACATAACTCATAGGATACACAGAATTAGCACTTAATTGGAATTAGAGGCCTAATTTATGCATGTCTTTACCACTTGTGAATAATGCAGTAATCCATAGATCTTGGCCATAAACCCTCTGGCTTAGAATGTACAGTAAGAGCTGATCAGGGACAGCTGTGTTTCATTGAAAAATGCCAATTTCTTACAAGCAAAGCTTTTGGAGAAACATTATCAGTTTTGACAAAATTTTAGTTAACATGATGTTTCTGGTCCAAACTCAAACTTCTGGTCTGAATGAAAATGACAGAAACAGACAGCAAACCTCGTATCACTATACTCCAATGTCTTGTAATTAGGGTGTTTCATTAGGAAGAAGAATATTCAGGTCAGTGCCCCTCATCTGTCAGGCAAGAGTTTGACCCTAAGTCTCCCATTTCCCAAGTAAATGTCCTAACAACGACTTTATTAGCTATCCTGGGGTGGTCTCTCTGTGGCTTTCTTCATGGAAAATTTCGAAAGAGTTCAATTTCTTCCTTATGTGGAATAGGAAAATTTTTTAGATCCCAGAATTTTTGTGGAGTGGAAAGCCTTTCCCACCCAACTATACTTCTTTTCATATACATCTTCCTTTAAAAATATTGGAAAAATAACATGACAAAGCCTGCCTTTGGTTTCTGTAAAATAATATCTGGAAACACATGGTAGTGTGTTGTGGTGTAAAAGTTTAATTACCATGATTTGGAGCTTCAGTAACTATCATCTCTGAGGAGCTGGTTTTAATTTATAGTAGTTATTTGGAGAAAATGGGAGATATAATTTCAACTGGAACAACTGAAGAGGAACTCTGATATAATCACAGAATAGTATTCCAAGGCATATAGATATAATGCCAGAATCAGTGTTAATCTAAAATCTTGCTGTTGAATTATTTGACTTAAGAATATAGGGTTTGCCATTAATAATTCATTTCTCTAGGCACAGTGGGTCATACAAAAAAATGCAATAGCATGTTAGAGGTGTATGATCACTAAGAATTTCTAGAATTTTCCAAGTATACCATCTACTATTTACTAAACTACCCTTGGCTTGAATATTATCTTTAGTCAGAAAAACTGAGAGCATATTGTGATCACGTTCACTCAATGTCCATTTCAGATGCAAACTCAGCTGATTAGTGCAATGCCTTTCTCTGTGTGGGACCAATCCTTGCCTTGTGCTGTTTAGCAAACCCATCACCAGGTTCCAAGAAAGGATAAGGCTTATGTTCCATTTTCATTAGAAACGCTTGTTAAAAAATGAGGTTTGAATTAAACTCTGAAAATCAGTCAGTAAATTAGTAAAATGTTGCATTACTGGAAGGAATGTAAACTCTGTAAATAGAGTTTCACCTGTGCATTAAGGGTGGAATTTTGTTCTATAAAACCCATAGTAATTTACCAAGAAGGCAATTAAAATCTGCATGTGTTATATATCATAGAATCATAGAATCAGACGGGTTGGAAAAGACCTCCGAGATCATCAAGTCCAACCCTACTGTGGTTACTAGACCATGGCACTAAGTGCCACATCCAGTCTCAGCTTGAAAACCTCCAGGGATGGTGAATCCACCACCTCCCTGGGCAGCACATTCCAATGCCTGAGCACTCTCTCTGTAAAAAGTCTCTTCCTAATACCTTACCTAACCCTTCCCTGGCAGAGCTTGAGTCTGTGGCCTCTTGTCCTGCTGCTGATTGCCTGGGAGAAGAGACTCAGTATGCGCAATTCAACATACTAACAGCTTCACTAAAGACAGAGAAACATTTGATTCTGCACTCCTATCTGCTTGTAGCTACCTAATGTCTTCTTTCTCGTGCTTAGATTAGGTCTTTTATGTTGAGTTTGCCATTTTGTTCAGCCTTTGTACAGTGCCCAGAGGAATGGCCCTGACAAATGCCCTGAAGCACTAGAATTGTTTGGAGAAAAAAAACCCCAAAAATCAGTGCTCAGTGTGAATTTATTCAAGTACAGCTCTGCCACTGTCCTGTGAGAACTGTGCCTAATAAGGACTGCAACTTTTGGTCTTCCGTGAATTTCTGTACTTAGTACTTGATTTTAAAAGACTCATAACTACAAATTTCCTACCAGCTGTGTACATGTTGACAGAGCAGTGCCCGTGTTAACAAAGAGAACTGAAATCACAAAGGAAGATTAGACATCATGTTTAAGTGTCAGGTTTTGCACAAGGTTGCATTTCTGTGCTTTTAAAACCTCCTGTCTTGCAAAGAAGAATCAAAGCACAGGCTTTTCAGTTAAGGCAGTTACAGTGAAGGCTTTCTGTGTTCGCCTTTATAAAACACTGTGGGAATAAATTGCACGATTACAAACCTTTTCAAAGGAGAACTTCTGCTCTCAGCTGATCCCCAGCTCCTCTCTCTGTTTGTATTTGTGGTCAGTTATCCCTCACACTGTATCTCCCTTCCCATCCTACCTTCAC